GGAAAGGTCAACTACAAGAGGGCACATGTTCAAGGTGAGAGGGGGAAAGTTTAGGGGAGAAGTGCAGGGAAGATTTTTCAGAGGATAGTGGGTACCTGGAACGCACTCCAATGAAGTGGTGGAAGCAGGCATGTTAGCAATGTTTAAGGTATATTTTGATAGACACATGGATAGGAGGCAAACAGAAGGATAGAAACTGCATATGGCAATAAGTAATAGGTCTAAGTATAGATTAGGAATGAGCACAGGCTTGGTGGACAGAAGGGCCTGTTCCGGTGTTGCATTGTTCCTTGTTCTTATTCACGGGATATGAATGTGGCTGGCATGGACAGCATTTATTGCCCATGACTAATTGCCCTGGAGAAGGTGGTGGTGAGTTATGTTCTTGAATCAATGCAGTCCTTGTGCTGTTAGGGAGGAAATTCTAGGTCTTTCATCAGCAGCAGTGAAGGAACAATGGTATAATTCCAAGGAAGGATGGTGATTGGCTTGGAAGGGAAGGAAGAGTCACCGGACACGAAACGTTAACTTTGATTTTTTTCTTCACAGATGCTGCCAGACCTGCTGAGCTTTTCCAGCAACTTCTGTTTTTGTTCCTTTGAGATGGCTAGTGGATTGCTGAAAGGCGATATAGAAATGCAATTCTTTCTTCATGGGCGGCCCAATGGTTAGCACTGCTGTCTCACAGCACCAGGGACCCGGGTTCAATCCCACCCATGGGTGACTGTCTGTGTGGAGTTTGCACATTCTCCCCGTGTCTGTGTGGGTTTCCTCCGGGTGCTCCGGTTTCCTCCCACAGGTTAGGGTGGATTGACCGTGCTAAATTACCCCATAATGTCCAGGGATGTGCAGGCTGGGTGGGTTAGCCATGGGAACTGCAGGGTGAGAGGGCTCGGGTGAGTCTGGGTGAGATGCTCTACAGAGGGTCAGCATGGATTCATAGAACATAGAGATAGAACAGTACAGCACAGTACAGGCCCTTCGGCCCACAGTGTTGTGCCGACCTATTATCCTACTCTAAGATCAAGCTACCCTGCATACCCTACACTTTACTACCCTTCATGTGCCTATCCAAGAGTCGCTTAAATGTCCCTAATGTATCTGACTCCACTACCACTGCTGGCAGTGCATTCCACACGCCCACCACTCTCTGTGTAAAGAACCTACCTCTGACATCTCCCCTATACCTTCCTCCAATCACCTTAAAATGATGCCCCCTCGTGATAGTCATTTCCATCCTGGGAAAAAAGGTGTCTGGCTATCCACTCTATCGATGGGCTGAATGGCCAACTTCCACTCTGGTGGGGGTTTTTTGCATGGGAAATACAGTTTTACAGGGATAGGGTAAGGGGGTGGGTCTGGGTGGGACACTGTCTGGAGGGTCAGTGTGGACTCAGTGGGCTGAATGGCCTGCTCCCACACTGTGGGGATTCACACTGTTGCCTCGGGAGACAGGGCTGGAGGTATCTCACAGTGAGACTCTCTCTGACAGTCTTCCCTTTGTTTCTATCATAATCTTAGCTGCTGGAGCAGTTTGCAACCCAGCACCTTTAATCTTTTTGTTTAAAACCCACCCCACCGCAGCCCACCCCACCCCACAGAAATGGGAGCAGAGCGACCGAGGAAGCTGCAGGTTTAACTGACAATGGATGTTAATAGAAAAGTAACAGCAGCAATATCTTTATGACTCAGCCGCCTCCGGTCAAGGAGCCATAATGTCGAAGTGATGGATCGGTTCGAGACTGAACAACTCCACTCTGCAGCACGGATGCATTTTACTGTACCCATCGCCTGGCAACAGGAGATAGCCTTAGCCCTCTAAAAACCATCCACCTCTCAGCGAGATAATTCATGTGTAAAATGCAGGCAGGGCGGCTTCAACAGGGAACACGAGCGGAGTCTCACCAAGTAATAGGGCTGGCAAACACTGGGGTGGCAATGGCCAGGGGGCTAATTCTGCTGGACTATGTATCCAGAGAGCCAGGTAATGTCCTGGGGACCCAGGTTCGAATCCCACCATTGCAAATGATGGAATTGAATCCAGTTTTTTTTAATAAAGCTGGAATTAAGAGTCTAATGATGGCCATGAATCCATTGTCAATTGTTGGAAAAACCCATTTGGTTCACTCATGCACTTTAGGGAAGGAAACTGCCATCCTTACCTGGTCTGGCCTACATGTGACTCCAGATCCACAGCAATGTGGTTGACTCTTCCCCCTGCCCCCGGAAGGCAGCCAACATCATCAAAGACCCCTCCCACCCCGGTTATAATCTCTTCCACCCTCTTCCATCAGGCAGAAGATACAAAAGGCTAAACACACGTACCGACAGATGCAAGAACAGCTTCTTCCCCGCTGTTATCAGGGTTCTCAATGGGTCTCTCAAATTTCAAACCTAATGTTAATCTCTGTGCCCCTTCTCTGCAGCTGTAACCTTGTATTTCTCTCTCTGTTCAATCATCCCATGATCTTTGTGCCTTTGTATGATATGATCCACCCGTACTGCATGCAACTGAAAACTTTTCACTGCACCTACATACATGTGACAATAATAAATCAAATCAAATCTTATTTGCCCTCTGGGCAATCAGGGATGGCCAATAAATGCTGGACCCTACCATCCTGTGAATGAGTTAAAAAGAAATAAAAGGAGAAAGAAACTGCCATCCTTGCCTGGTCTGGGCCTACATGTGACTCCAGACC